TTGAATTGGAATTCCTAAAAAGCCAACGAAAGTTTCCTGAAGCTCAAATAGCTGGAGTAGACAAAGTACTTGCTGAAAAAAAATTTTACATCAAACTAGAGTATCGCGAAAGAAAGCATAAAAAAAAGGAAAAAAAAATCTTGAATTTTGCTCAACCATTACTGATAATAATGAATTCAACGAAAAGGCAAAATTTTATTCAGATGTTACAGAATAAAAACATTTTTCAGTGAAAGAGAAAAAAAACCATCATTGCAAATCTGCGATAACGCAGAAAATTTCAAAAAGAGAACTATTAAAAGAAACGTGTACAGTTGCTGATGGATCCAGTATTAGTGAAAAACAACAGCTTCTTATTTTCGGAAAAGCTTTAGCAGTAGGTGAGCAGCTTTAAATGATATTACACTTTCTAAAACATCAGTTAGAGTATCATCTAACAGAATTGAAGAAGCTAAATTAATTGAAGAAACTTGGGTTTCACTTGAATTTTCGGAAATTCATTGGGACGGAAAAACTTTCAAGCAAGCTATTGCAAAAAAAAAAAGAACGACTTGCTGTATATGCAGGGCTACCTCCTAAATTTGTAGGTACTTTTAAAATTACCAACGAATCTGGTCAAACGCAATGTTATTCAGTGATAAACCTAGTTAATAAAAGGCATCTGTTATTGTCCTTGTCTATGTAGCTGCAGTTTTAATTGAGAAGCAAATCGGTTGTTCTCTACTCCAACTTGAATGTAGACATCATATTTAAGAGCTCTTTATAAAAGCAATGATCCAATGCTATTTGTGGTCCGAACAAATTACCAAAAGTTCAGCTGTTTAAAAGGTTCAAGGAAGAATTTCATAACCTTAACAAGAATATAAAAGAACTTAATATGTAGGACTGGCCTCATGAGCAAAAATTTTTTTCTTTCAACAAGCACTTAAAGTAAAGAATGGAATGCTTGGAGAGTAAAACATTTCCTTGAAAGAAAAAAAGGTTTCCGCATTCGGTATGCCGGTTCTTTTCATCACGCAAGGTGGATTTCAAAAACAATTTATTATACAAAAATATTCCTATTATCTCATACCTTTGAACTTAATTATGAAGAAGCAAAAAAGATTGAAAGGATGACCAAGTATATTTTTCTTTTTTACTGAAAGTACTTTCTTCAATCTGCTATTACTGCTGCTGCTCTAACTAATGAGCTGCATTTCTCTTAATTAATGAGGAAATTTAAATCAATCAACCTTAAAAGCGTAGAAGAAATCATCGAGTCTTTTGAACTTACCTGGGATACTTATCTGAGGAGCTAGTAGTCTTTTCCTTGTTTAACGACTCTGTGAATTATGCAGAAAAGACAATGATGGGTCAGAAACTTATAAACTTCCCAAGACCTTACCAAGTATTCATTCCTAATAAACCGAAACCTCCGATTATTTTTTTGCGCGACAAAGAAAAACCTTTTTTATTGTCTTTCTATATTGGCGAAAAGTCTTGGTTGCTTTTTCAGACCCCAAGAATGGCTAAACGTTCCGTCAGAGCATTGGTACAAATTCAAGGACTTTAAATCAAATCTTTAGCTGTACTTATTGTCTTGCCACACAATTCCCCAAAATTTCTCAATGGGACGGAACTGTGGGCAGTGGATGCAAGCTTTTTAGTATAAATTTGATGTCTCTCGAATTGTACCACTCTATGGACTTCTTAGAATAATGAAAAGAAGCAAGATCAGCCCAGGACCAAGGTTCATCGTGACTTGGATAAAATGGCAAAATTCAAGCTTGCAAGCATTCCTTGATGGAAACATTCGAGTTTAAAGTTGACGATGTGACGAAAGCTCGAGATCTCAATGCCGCATATTGCTTGCCACAAGAAAAGTTTCTTACCAAATTGATCCAATGATTTATACTTGAACTTGTTGCCGACATGTCCACAAAAAATTAAGTGTAAAATTTTGGACCTGGGAGCTGTTTGAAGTCACATTTCACGCGCGTTTCGTCATCCATAATTATGCAGCCATTAAATTAGTAAACAATTGGTCATAATTTTTCGTGCTCGAACTTAAGCCGTCAGTGATCGCTTATCTGATCGGTTTGAATATTTAATGGCTCGATAAGACTTGAAATTGTAAAAATTCCTGACAAAAAACTCTGAAACTTTGTACCTTTTGGCTCGTTCTCTGTTCGATAAGCCAGGATTTTGTGTGAATGATTGTCGAATACTAATTGCTGCTTTCTTATCTTTAAACCTCCTTTTCTTCCAGATCCTTTTGCTCGCTCGATAGATAGAGAGCTATTGTATCATTTTATGACGATATAAACGGTAGTTTCGCTAGATTCAGATGCTTTAGCGATTGAAAGTAACGGTGCAGAAGGATTTTGTAGATATTTATGCAGAATTTTTTTTGTTTTTTTATCTGTTTTGATGACATTTTAAATGAGAAAAATATTTTGACTCCTTTGTTTTTAATTAATACTATCATTACTTAATGTAATTATTCCAAAAAAAACAATTTTAAAATGTGTTAGTGACAAGTTTTAAAACCATGTTCCTCGTTCCGAATTTAACGATCGCATGCTTTATATTTTTAACAAACAAAAAAATAACATTTCAGTAACGTTATTAATTGCATATTTATTAATATTTTAACAAATCTTTTGTGGAATATGTACAAATAGTCGCAAATTAAAAATTTTGTATAATTATTTTGTAATGATTAATAATTAAATTGTGTAAACCCCACATAACAACAACAATTAGTCGATAAAAATGTTACACAACACTTGCGCAATCTGTTATTCCAACTTTAAATGTTTAGTGGGGGATCTAAAAATTATTCTAAATTCTAAATTTTTTGTATTTGGCGTTTTTAGATCAAATGACATCACTGTAAAAACCCCAATTAAAATTTCAAAAGAAAGTTTAAAATTGACCACCCTGTTACCTGACTCTGAGAATAGTCTCTTTTTATATGTTACTTAAAGGAGTATGTCTAACAAGGATGTCAGAAAACAATATAAAACTACATTTATATACATATATATAGAAAAGAAATTTTGTATATATATGTATATATATATATATACATATATATATATATATATATATATATATATATATATATATATATATATATATATATATATATATATATATATATATATATATATATATATATATATCAGTTAACTATGAGGCCAAGCTGACAAGCTGATCGGACTTTTTGATAGATAATCCTTAAGACACTAACGATTTGTTGGTGTAAAAATCTAAACACGATCGGCTTAGCGTGTATATGGGCCAAAAAATATCAGAGTAGGACATACTCCTTTTAAATTATTAAAAAGTATAGGATGCCTAATACAGTAAATATTTCAATTTTTAACCTAAATGGAAAAAAAACATAACAAGAAAATAATTTTAAATATAAATAATATTGTTAAAACTTTCAATAAATAAAATTATGAGAAACAAATAAAAATAGAATATTAGATTTAAATGAAACAAGAATAAAGTTAATAAATAGATTATATATATATATATATATATATATATATATATATATATATATATATATTATATATATATATATATATATATATATATATATATATATATATATATATATATATATATATATATATATATATATATTAGGGGTGTAATGGATAGGAAATTTTGAATTCCGACAGGAACCGGATTTACCGGTTTTATATATATATATATATATATATATATATATATATATATATATATATATATATATATATATATATATATATATATATATATATGTATCTACTATAGCATATTTATATGCGCAATTGCTCACTTTTTTTGCTAGCCTAAATTAAGTGAGGGTTTTTAGAAAACGATGAGGGAAAACAAAGAATAATGAATGAAAAGGTTGCTAACCCATACCAAACCCTCAGTCGATGTAGCAGCACTCCACTGCAAGTTAGGCTATTTGTCAGTTGATGTATGTACTATAGCGCTCGCAGCAGGCTATTTCAGTATGACGTCATCATGCTCACCTAACTCAGCAGTATAAGATATATATATATATATATATATATATATATATATATATATATATATATATATATATATATATATATATACATATATATATATACATATATATATATATATATATATATATATATATATATATATATATATATATATATATATATACATATATATATATATACATATATATATATATATATATATATATATATATATATATATATAATATATATATATATTTTATATATATATATATATATATATATATATATATATATATTACATATATATATATATATATTACATATATATATATATATATATATATATATATATATATATATATATATATATATATATATATATATATATATATATATATATATATATTATATATATATATATATATATATATATATTTTATATATATTTTATATATATATATATATATATATATATATATATATATATATATATATATATATATATATATATATATATATATATATATATATATATATATATATATATGTATATTAGGGTGTTCCAAAAAAATGACTTTTTTGAATTTCAACTAACATTGCTCTTCATAAGGTGCCCCAACCTTGATATTACTAATAATTTTTTTTTTTTTTTATGATTAGATCACTCCATGACTTCCCTCAATGAGCCCAAAGGTCATTTTTTGCCCGTTTTTTGCCCATATTTCGGACTAGCTGAGGGGAGTGTTACCATTATCCAAATTAATTTTTCTTTCTTTTTTTTTGTTGTTTTATATTTTTGAAGGAAATAAAAATATAATGTTAAGCTTAATTTTACTTAAACAATGAAGACCAAAAAATTAAAAAAAAGGCATTTTAAAGCTTTTTTGCACTATATTAGTGTTCTGCTTATTAACAAGATACTTTACGTATTAAAATATTTATATTTACATAATAAAATCATATTTATGATTAGTTTCTGAAGAAATTAGTTGTCAAACATAGTTCATGTTTATAAATTTATTTTGTAAACAAAGAATTCTTTACATAATCACATTTTTTTTTAATTGTTCTTTCACTCTTATATTTGTTTGATACGAGGAAGGTACTTTGTCTTTTATCCTCATTATGCGATTTATTGATCAACTCCTATTAAAGAATATTTAAAAGTAATGAGCTTGTAAAATAAATTAAGATTTTAACATAAACATTAAGGACCAAACATATAAAATAGTTACCTGAACTAGTTTTATAGCCCTCTCACTACAGTCATTTACTACTTCAAGATTATTCACAAATTGTTTGAATTCTAAGTAATAGTCATTTAGATCCCATGTCTCAGATGGAGTCTTAAACCACTGTACTTCAGCATTTGCATGGTTTAAGATATGAAAAATTAACCAACTCTGGTCAGTTATAAGCGGGGTCAAACTTGGGGGAGTATCATCATTAAACATAAGGGAGTTCAGTATATTTAAATTAACTTGATGTCTTTCTATGGCATAAGTTGTAGGTCTTGGGGTTGAGTACAACTTCTTGGCAATGTCACTCCATTCTTGTACATTTTTGTCAACAAGAGACATAACTAAAATATTTGGGTCTATGTACCAGGTGTGTCTCTTTAGAGACTCTATAACAGGTTTTGCCTGGACAGGATTGATTTTTGAGTATCTCATCATCTGCCAAAGAGCTTTCATATCCTAAAGATTTTTAGACTATGAAATATTACACAAAATTTTCAAAGAAAAAAAAGTAATAAAAAGCAAAATGATTAAAAACTTTTAAAACATAGAAATGTCACCTGATATGGAGCGACAGCCGGAATTTCAGCCTTTATAAACCACTCAGTGTAAAATACAGCTGTGAAGAATGCCATATCATTTATTTCTTTCTTCTCAAAATCTGTCAAGCTAGAAATGTTGTTTAGAAGGATATACATTTTCAGAAAGTATATTCCCTTTGCCATAAATCTGGCATGGTGTACAGGCCCAGGTTTTCTTAGCCTGTACTGTTCATCACCAGATAAAACCATTGTTGTCAATTCCACTAACTCTAGATAATCAGACCTACATCTATCCTAAATAAGATTATTTATTTAGACACAAAACAGTACCTTACTAAACTTATTTTATTATAGAGTATTTACTTTATTCAAAATTTTAAATACCTTTTTCATTGTTTTCATTCTGATAATATTTTGAGAAAAAGATAAGGCTTCTTTGAACTGTACCTGCAGCCAGCTATCAGAAATATCTTCAATTTTTACTTTGTTTAACACAATGGAATTTTGATCAATTGAGTTCCATACATCTTTAAGCTTCTTAAACAATGGATTATCTGGACCATTTATTTTACTGCTTGGATAAATGTTCCAGCAGTGAATAATATGCCTTTCATAGATGTGATGCCTACATGCTAGGAGAAGTAGTGGTCTATCAAGCTCTGCAGCTAATCTAATGCACACACCCTTTTTATTACCAGTATTTACAGAAGTTGTATCAAAAACGCATCCTTGTAATTTATCAAAAATATCAAATTGATGAAGAAGTTTTATGATTGTATTCTCCAGTACTAGAGCTCAAATGAGGAACCCCAAGAAGCTCACTCTGTCCATCTATCCTGATGGAAACAGCAAGTCTGTCAAGTTGATGTTCTATTCCGCTTGTGAACTCCTTAACTATTTTTCCATCAAAATGGAGAATAATTGGTAATGATGAAGATTTAACAAGATCAGTAACGTGCTTTTTAATCTTTTCTTCCTCTTTAGTTACAACTTCTTCTGCAACTCTAAATGCGGTTGAAGAAGATATTGCAAAATTAGTAACATCACCTCCTGAATTAGCAATAACACTTGCCACTATTGCAGTGTGTTGTCTAACTGAAAGTCCTTCACCTATTGCTGTGAGAGCTGTTTTTTTTAAAATATTTTTTGGTAACAAAACAACAGAGGTAGATTGTTTTTTTTTTATATCTGCTACATATTCACAGTCAGAATTATTATCACTACTTGAAGAGTTTTCTAAACTGTATAGATTGTTACCATTGTTTACTTTAATCTCCATGTTTAACATGGAACACAATTTTTTGTGGGATCTCTTAATAGCGTACGTAAACCTTTTATCATTTGTTCCTATTCTTCCTATCCTATTTCCAATTTGGTCTAAGATAAACGCAATATCTTCATTTTTGGCTTCGGATGTCCTTCTCCTGTCTTTTATAATATCTTCAATTAGTTCTTCTTTTTTTTTACTAATCCAAAAGCATTTTAACATTTCTTCAAAAAATGCCTCATTCCTTTTCGTATCTGTTGGGCTGTTCCTTTTGCTATTCTTCTTTAACTTGTAATAGTTGTTCACCATTTTATCAATCTTCTTTCTTTAAAATGCAAAATTTATTCAATGTTTAAAATAAAGATAAAAATAAATTTGTTGATAAATTTTGAATTCATAATTTACCTGATATTTTCCAAGGTTATGATAGGGAACCCTGCAAGATTCCATGGCCTTACCAATTTAGACATTACACAACAGTCAGCTTGTGGAGGGCATCTGAGCTCAAATGAATTAATTTCGAAATGACACCTAAAACCGTTTTCTTTACTTTGGGATTCAAGTTTCTTAGATATAGGTAGTATTGCAAAACCTCTATGCCAGTAGGAAGTTTATAACATGAAAGATTTTCTCTAACTTTCTTTACCAGAAATACTTCAGCCTTATTTCGAGTAAGCTTCAACTTCTTTTTTGGTGGCATTTTACTATAAAATAACTTTTTTTTAAGTTAATTAGTTACTAAAAAGATAAATGGTAACCAAAAATATAAAATAAGTTAAAAATCAAATTGCATACACAAGGTAAAATATAATTGTTCACAAAATGAAACAATTATACGCGTATTTAAAATATAACAGAAAACACATTAAAATGGTACATAGGACAAAGGTAGTAAAAGGTAGTGAAATATAGTAAAATAAATCAATTTTTTGATCTTCATTGTTCAAATAAAAAAACAAATTAAGCTTAACATTATATTTTTATTTTCTTCAAAAAGATAAAATAACAAAAAAAAAGAAAGAAAAATTAATTTGGATAATGGTAACAGTCTCCTCAATTAGTCCGAAATATGGGCAAAAAACGGGCAAAAAATGACCTTTGGACCCATTGAGGGAAGTCATGGAGTGATCTAATCATGAAAAAAAAAAAAAATTATTAGTAATATCAAGGTTGGGGCACCTTATGAAAAGCAATGTTAGTTGAAATTCAAAAAAGTCATGTTTTTGGAACACCCTAATATACATATATATATATATATATATATATATATATATATATATATATATATATATATATATATATATATATATATATATATATATATATATATATATATATATATATATATATATATATATATATATATCATATATATATATATATATATATACATATATATATATATATATATATATATATATATATATATATATACATATATATATATATATATATATATATATATATATATATATATATATATATATATATATATATATATATATATATATATATATATATATATATATATATATATATATATATATATATATATATATATAATTCGTGTATTTATATTCTATTGCTTTATTTATGTGTTTCTTTTAAATCCTAATTTTACCTGGGCAGCATAGGTTGTAACTTAATTTCATTTTCATTCATCATTTAAATTTGAGCAATTTTAATTTATAAGTTGTAAGTTCTTTGAAAGTTATTCTTAGGATTATAAACAATTCTAAATGGTTTTGAAACTTGCGACTAATCGTACCATTATTTGAAGAAATGATGTTACTGGTTAAAAATTGTTTACTGATAATTATTTTGACTAATTGTAACAAATCAAAACAGAGTTAGTTACTAAGCTTTAGCAAGTTACAACTAAGTAGCTAATACCTCATTGTAATTAAGTAGCTAGTCACTCATTGTAACTAAGTAGCTAGTCACTTATTGCGAATTACAACACTAAATTGATCAATTGTCAATTTATCTTGCGTAGAATCCACTTGCACATAGTATTCCTCCGTGTTAAACATATATTTTATTCTGTTCTTATATCATATTTTTCAGAAGTTGAGAAGTGTTGGTATAGCTGTATTTAAAAACCTAACCAGTAAACCACGACCTTTAGTACACTCCCCAGTAAGCACAGGAACATTTTAAAAAGTGTTTTAAACATTAAAAAAAAAACGTTTTTTTTAACGTACAAAATGGCAATATCTAAAATAAAACTAAAGTTCAATAAAAAACGTTCTGCAAAACCCGATGTTTAAATTAGCACTTTTTTTGAACGTCTTTTAAACGTTCAAAAGACTTCTTTTTTTAGAACAAATGGTCGCTAAATTTTTTTATCAAATTTCTTGAATTACTCTGTTGATTAAAGAAATAAGAAAAATTAAAAAAAAAAACATTTATTTTCATAAAAAATATAATTTACAAATCGTAATTTATATAGTTGGTTTATGGTAGTTACATTGACAAGAGTAAAAGATAAAGATTTTTATTCTAAGAAGATAATAAAGTATTGTTTCGTAAAATCAATTTTCACTAGTTTCATCATCATAATCACTGTCATTACCTTTTCTTTTTTGAATATGGACCTTCTTTTTCTCAAATCCAATAGTTTATTTGAAAGCAAAAATCTATAAACAGAAACAAACTTATATATTTAAGCTTATAAAAAATTCTCACAAAAACATCAACAAGAACATTAAAGAATTAATTTGCCTTGCAGAATACTTCCTACAGAATACTTCCTAAAACTTTTTGTAAATAATAAAATTATACAGTTATCTTAAAATGTCATTTTTAATAAAGACAGTTGCTTGAGATAGGCCATCATATTTATTAATTGGATTTGATTTGTCTCTGCCATTTGCCATTAAAAATTCTGCTATGTTTATTAGTTTTTCGAGTCGAAAAAAAAAACTGAAGGAAAAAACCTGCAAGAATATAGCTTCCTTGAAAACTCAAAACTCATTTATTTTAATCAAATTGTTTGACATTTCTTTCTTTAGATAAAAATTGTCCAAACAAAATCTTTTTCAAAAATTATTTTAAAAATCAACTATTCAAGTATCTTTAAAAAAAATAGATCTTTGTATTAGAAAAATGTTTATGCATTTTATCATGTCTGAAATAAAAAATTTATTTGGAATAATGTCAGTTACAAAAGTTATTTTTTTAGTAGTCACTTTAAAAACGTCTTGTGCTTATTCTAAACTTTTTGTTTCATAAATTGTCATTTATGTAAACACTGCGGTTTAATTAGTCATTAGAAATAAAGGTTCTTTGAACAATAATGAAGGAAAGTATGCAAATTTCTTAGCTTTGATTTAGTTTTGATTCAGCATTCAAAATACCTATATAAATTTATGTGTAAAGTCAACAAAAAGAACCAAAAAAATCGATTGTTAAATCGATTTTTTTGATTATCAATTAGATGATTCGAACAAAATGATCATTACAAAGCCAATAATTTAAAACAAATCTGAATGGTTGTTAGTGGGAAACCGAAAAACTTTTTATTTATTGGTATTTAATTTATGCAAACAAAGAATTCGAATTGAAAGTAATTTGTTTATAAAGTTTACCGCCTCTGTTTTTTAATTGTTTACGCAATAATTTATTATTTCAAGATGGCCGAATAAGTCCCGAGTAGTATGTTACTGACGGTAGGCTAAATTTTATGTTCTAGAGTTGCTCCAAATCTATCACTATTATTTGTATAACAACTTTTGATGGTGGTGTGTGTCAACTATATGGCAATAGTAGCCAAAAATGTGCCGAACTTCTGGAGAAGTTTTGAAAGAAGCCAAGACAAGCTTTTCGTTCAATTAAACAAGCCAAGCTTTTCGTTCGTAATCTATATGGAGCAGCTGAAACCAGAAGTTCCCTCGTTTCTTTTGAACATGGTGGTCTAGAGTTGTCTTCCTTTCTCTTTGAGGCTCCATTTGCATTTACGCGGGACTTATTTATGGAAAGATATTTATAACTAAATTAGAAAAATAAATAAGAATACTTTGTTTCTACTCCAAACAATGATAGTTAAGCTAAGTTTGTAATATAATAGCTATTAACTTTATCTAATTTTAAAATGATATAAATATTCTCTAATAAAGGAAAATTAACTTAAGTAATCCTGATAAGTATTTGTTTCTTATTTCCATAAACTTTTTTTTTCTGACAAAATAAAATTTTAAAATATTTAATTATTTTTATTGAAATGTTCTTAAAACACATTTATTCATGTTATGGAAAAGGTTTCTTGAGAAAATAAAAAAAGATATCGGAGATATCAGGGAGATATCGGTTTACAATCTCTGATTGTAAACCGATATCTCCCTGATATCTCCGATATCTCCCTGAATTGGTTAAAGTAAATATTTACTATGAGAATTTGATTTAGCATCTCCTAGTTAATAGAGGTGTTATTAGGGTTTTAAAGTTATTAGGATGTTCAAAAAAGATGAAGCTTTTCTTCATATTTTTTGAACACCCTATATAATAATTTATAAATGAAAAAATAAATTGTTATTTACATGTAATTTACATTACATCAAATTCTTTGTCTATACACTTAAGGAAGACTAGCATTGAAAAATTTTCAATACTAGACATTTCTTTACCAGCTTTATAAATTAAATCAATGTACTTTAATAACATCCTTTGAAGACGCGGAGACGTGTTTGCTAAGGCTTTCTTCATAATATTTTCCAACGGCTGTTAACAGTGACTTTTTTTTTTCAAGTGGTGTCATTGACCTTGATGCAAATGCAATTGGTTTTTCATTTTGAAGTAGTACTGCTCCAAGACCAGTTTTGAATGCGTTTGCTTGTAACATCACAGGTTTTTGGATGTCATATATTGTTCAGAACTTATTATTTTTTTAATTTTATGGAAAGATTGATCTTATACTTTGCCCAATTGCATGTGTGTTCCTTTTTTTATTAGATTTCGAAATGGTTCCGTAATTTCCGATAAATTAGGTAGGAATTTACCAACATAGTTTACCATGCCTAGAAATCTTTGAACCCTGTTTTTATTTTTAGATTTTGGCAATTCATAAATGGCTTTAATTTTTGCTTCATCTGGTTGTATTCCGTTTATTGATTATTTGTGTATATCAGCTCCTTTGTTCGAAATCAGCATTTTTCCGTATTTAGGGTCATTCTCATTTTTTCAGCTCGATCTAGGCATTTTATTAGATTTTCATCCGGATTTTTTGTACCCCATATTAGAATATCATTAATAGTTTCCACAAAACGAAACTCATCAGAACATTGACTGATTCTTTTATGAAAAACTTCCTGCGTCGAATGTATACCATAAGGTAAATGTGTAAATCTAAATCTTCCGATTTGTGTGTTCATCGTAGTTAACATAAAGATATCTTTATCCAGTAAAATGTGCCAATAACCACAAAGTCTAGTTGATATTTCTTCGAAAGTAGGTAATTAATAATGTACTCTTTTATAGCTTTATTTAAGTCTCTTGGATCCAGACAGAGTCTTAGTTGCCCATTTGGTTTTTCCACGACAACTTGTGAATTTACCCATTCTATTGGGTCATCTATTCTTGTTATTACTCCGGTTTTTTTCCATTTCATCCAATTCCATTTTTGTTTTTTCTCTCAAGGTGGCAAGAATTTTCCTTGGGAGATGAATAACAGGATTTGAGTCATTCTTTTACTTGAAATGATGTTCAAGTCCAAGCACACCTAACCCATTAAATAAATTTGGATACGTTTTTAGTATTTCTTCTTGTAACTATACTTGTTTTCCTTTAATCCGTTTTATTTTGTTTAGAATAGATATTTCTTTTCGTTCGTGTCTACAGTTTTTACTTCATTTAGTAGTTTGGTAGCTTGCAAGTCTTAAGAAGTTTGTAAGCTAAGAACGAGTTTGCTTGTTGTTTCCACTACATAAAATTTAACCGACTTTTTACAACTTTTGTAAGTAACACATCATCTTTTATATTCCAAGTACTGTAAAATAATTACCTCCAAACCAGATTAACAGATTAACATCTGTATAAGTAAGATTATCACGTCATGTTAGTTGGTCGTCGACTCTATTTGGCATAACGTCAACTTCAGCTCCAGTGTCGATTTTTCCACAAACCAGTTTATTATTAATTTTGAAGATTATCAAAGCTTCTTTTTTACAATTCATTTCACCAAATGATACAAATTCAACATGGTATTCAACAGCGCAATTTTCGTGTATGTTTTTTGAGTTGCAGCAAGTTGGCCGATGATTTTTTTGTTACAATTGTGGCTCGTTTGACAAAATGCCGGACAGTTTTTTGGTTCATGTGTTATATTGCATTTCTTGCACTGCCTTTGTTGTTGTTTTGTATTTGAACCATTATTCATTTGTTTCCAGTTTTGTTTATTTGATTCAACCCAGTCTGTTTTGCTTTTTGATACATTTTCGTTATTCGCGAATATTCTCCATTTCGGAATTTGTCCGATTGTCGCATTTGCTTGTCTTGGCTTTATAAATATACCACATCAATATTTTTTTTGTTTGTATTTGATTTCATTTCTACATTTGCAACTTCTTCAGCTCTGCATATGCTAATCGCTTTTGTTAAAGTTAAATCCGCTCTTTTTTTAAGTAGATTATTTCGGACTTTGTCTTATATTACTCCGTCAATTATTTTGTATAATATAAGACCATCTTGAAAATTTTTAAATTCACATGTTTGAGTCACAAAAAAATCAAATGATTCATTGACATCTTGTTTTCGTAAGAAAAACTTTCTTCTTGCCATAACTAGATTTCTTTTCGGTAAACAGTATTCTTCGAATCTTTCAAACAGTTCTTTTTTTCCGTGATTAATTTCACCATCGTCATTTTCTATTTTTTTCCAAGTAAGTTGAATACTTCTCTTCCTTTTTTCACCGATAATAAATGAGAATATCGAGCACTTTTCTTCATCATATTTATTTGACATTGCTGCTTTTAGATACAACTGCATTGTTTGTTTACATTTTTTCTATGTAACAGCAATATGGGATACGTTCGAATATGGTAATAAGTGTTCAATTTTCTTTTTATAGTTAGGCACATTCCAAAATCTTTTTGTAAAATTCTTCAATCCACTTCTGGTATCATGTAATGTCTCGTATTCCATTTATAGGAAAGAGAATAGGAAAGAGTTTTAATATTTGTTTGACATTTATTTCTATATCTATGTAATAAGTTGTTACAATTGTAACAATTTATATAATAATAACACACATAAAATATAACACACAATTAATATAATAATTAGTTAACTAATTTTTATATTAGTTGTGTGTAGTTTTCTCGTGTGGTTATTTCAGCCTCTTTCGAGTTCAGCGTTACTGCTTTTAAGTAAGAATTCCTCGTGCAAGATTAGCCTCTTAGGGAATACTTTAGCAATCATTTTCCGTTTAATTCTCCAAAAGATATTACTTGTTGTGCAATCGCTAATTGTTATTCTGAATGATTGTTAGAAATAATTATCCAGAGGGAATTGTTTGCGTAATAATCATTACATTAATCATTGCGTAATAATCATGTTTTCCTGATTCATATAATTTGCAATCTTTTAAGTTGTCTATTAATCGTTATCTTGCTCTATAAACTTCTTTTCTCTTCCAGTAACTTCCTACTCTAATAGATGTTGCTTGTAGCCTTGTTGGAAGTGAAAATGCTTAAGAAATATTTTCTTTAAAATTTCTGAAATTTCGATCTGTAAGTTTAACCTTACCTAATAAAACATTTTTACCCTATTAGATTAACCTTATAGATATTATCATTATCTCTTAACAAATTTAGTATAACTTATTAATCTTTGTTTCTCATCATTGATCTACCATAGTTTACATGTACCATACCATAGTTACTCCCTCCCCCTACCAGAATCTGAAAGTCCTAAAATATCTTAGAAATGGAGGAACTTTTTTTTTTAGGAGACACAAATGTGGTACAAAATACAAAATATTTCAACACCCCTTCCCCCCCTTCCCCCACATCGGATCCGTCACTGCTAAACATCTTTCTTAGATTGAATAATCACCTTATAAACTCATGTGGTTTTAACTGAATATTTTCTACTGTTCATCTGAGGCTGAAGAGTTCGTGTTGTATAAAGATTAACAGACTTAATTCTGATTATCCTTATATTATTAAAATTCCAATTTTTATTTTAAGTCCTACTTATTAACTTAATTACTTTTAATCTTAGAAAGTTCAAGTTTATGACCTGCTATGTTACATTACTTATTCAATTAAACCAGATTTCAATATTAGGCTACATATAGAAAAAAAGATTTTATCATTTATAATAGCAATATAATCAATGGACTTTATTTGTATAATTTGGGCGATGAATTTATAATCTTGATTTCTTTTTAGACATATGTCTAATTTTGTAACCTTAGAAATTCTTATAATTTTTCCTACATTTTTCTTATATTTTTATTAAATCCTATTTTTTATCTGAGGCTGATGAGATCTTGTTGCATGAAGGTAAACAGATTTATTCTGTTAATCGCTGAGAAGTCAAATGAGAAGTTAAAACTTCCTACGCAAAAACTATTCAACTAATTACTGTCACACTTCTGATAAGCAAGACATTTTTGTATAAATAAGACGAGCTTTTTGTATGAATAAAACATGCTTTTTGTCTGAGCAAGATATGCTTTTTGTATGACTTTTTAATCACTTTTGATAGTTATTCTTTTTATTTTTAATTTTGATTTTTTAGAATAAAGTTTTAAGAACTTACTAAATAAAAAATTACTAAATAAAAAATATTGTAATGTTTCTTAAATATTGTCTTTATGTAAATTTAACCTTTAATTTATTTAAAATTGTTTGGAATAATCACGTAAAATAAAAATAAATTTTTTTTTTTGCGTCTATACCCTTATGCTTACCTCGATAAAATTAGTTAATTATTATTTCTTTTGGACCAAGTTAAAAAGAATATTATGCGCTTCTTAGCGTTATTAACATTTATTAATAACAAGTAAGACAAATGTTATTTTAGCATGCTGAAAGAAAACATATTTGCTTAATATACATAGTGTACAACATTCAAAATATTATTTTAGAGGTGTAAAAAGTTTGCTTTTCGTAGTGTTTATATATATATATATATATATATATATATATATATATATATATATATATATATATATATATATATATATATATATATATATATATATATATATATATATATATATATATATATATATATAAACTACACATTTATATTAAAAATTTAATAACATATAACTTGATTTATAGCAATAATAAGTATTTTCAATATAAGTAAAAAAGATGTTGTTTGTTTTCCGTTGATAATTTTATTTATTACTTTAACATTCGTTATATATGATTATATAACTATTATGCTAATGATAAAATTTTATTTAAAAAAATATTTAGTTTATAATAAAAGTTTCATTGACATGGTTTTTCCATTGGATAATCCTAATCCAATTCACAAAAGATATGAAGATTATATTCGCTTCTTCTGCTCAGCGGTTGCTGTATCATCTGCTGCGTTTCGTAAGTTTTTACATTACATAACTTGTTACTTATCAACATGTTAATGAGCTTTATTTATATATGAGCATATTATAGATGTAAGCAATGAAGTTAAAGTTGCTTTGTATTTTTTGAATCGACTTTATGTGGTGATAACAGAAATCAGTACAATTAGCGTAAATTTAAATGCAGTAATTAGCGGCTATCATCTAATTAAAACGCTGTTAAATTTTTTTCGTTGTTAAAATAATATCATCACGCATGAATAAATCTGTAGCGCGAAATTTTGGTGCTAAAATAATAAAATTAATTTTTTTATAAAGAAAAATATGTTAACTAAAATCCAATCCATTTGTGTTTGAAAAATAATGCATATAAACATTTAGTTTTGACTTTATTTAAGCCATTTTAGTGCAATATGAGCATGCTCAAATAACCCAGTGTTTTTCACTGCAATTACCTAGTTTAAAGTCCTAAAATATCAGTTGTTTTAATTGCTTTTTGAATTTAAACAAAACTGGGAGGCTGCTTAAGCGTGAATTGGCATATGTGGGCAGTGGCATAAGTGCGAAGCGTTGCAAAAACTGGCATAAGTGCGAACTGGCATAAGTGCGTCAAAAGATTTTGCAAACATTGACATAAGTGCAAATTGGCATAAGTACGAACTAACATAATGCGAAGCAGTTGCAAAAACTTGCACAAGTGCGAACTGGCGTAAGTGCGCCAAATAAATTTGCAAACATTGGCATAAGTGCGAATTGGCATCAGCGCGAATCAGTTACAAAGTGCAAAGCAGTAACAAAAACTGGCATAAGTGCGAACTGGCATAACTACGAATTGGCATAAATGCGCCGAATAAATTTGCAAATATTGACATAAGTGCGAATTGGCATAAGTGCGCAGAATAAAATTTCGAATATTGGCATAAGTGCAAATTAGTATTTCGCAGTTATGCCAAATTGGACTTACGCCAGTTCGCACTTATGCTAATGTTTGTAAGGTCTAACTCTTTTAGACAATGTAATGATTTTATCTCTCTCTTGGCTTTTTTGCTAGTGGCTTAACTGCTTCAATCCTTGAGCACCATCGTAAAACAAGAAATTTATGCAGTGATTTTCGGACGACCTGAACTGCAGCTAAACAAATTGTACAGTTTTTGAATATTTCTAAAATAAGATTTCGCAGGAGTCAATGATTCAATAGCGTGTGTTGTACATAAGTTCAAACTGTGAGCAGAGCAAGAAATGAAAATTGCTTTTGAGTTATTCTGCCTGATCAAAGCTTGAAATCCATTTTAAGTACCTGACATAAAAGCGCCTTTGTCGTAGCCTTCACCACGACAATTTTTTATGTCGAACTCATTCTCTTCCAACACATTCAATATCAACTTTTTTATATCAGATCCTCTCTTCTTTTTAAGTTATTCTAAAACCTTTCTTTGACCTCCCACAGCTGATTATCACTGAAATGCAAAAAACAAAAAAATGAAAGTAATTTGACCGCTGCGGTACAAATCGGGAGTGCTGTCCGTTATGATGATGAAATATATTGATTTATTGATTTCTCGAACAACTTTTCGAAACGCTAATTTGTCGTACTTCTCGTTAAATTCATTCTGTGATATCCAGGATAAGCAACAAACTTGCATGCGTTTTTCTTCTTCTTGGTGCTTAGCAATAAGATGTGTATGATCTTGTAACGTTTTGTTGTGGCTACAAATAATCAAAATAGTAATCCATATTTATATTCAATTATAACTTATAATTTTGATTTAATAATAAAATAATGCAAAGTATAATTTATAATTTAAAACAATATTTTTACCCCTAAAAGCTAAATTTCTTAAAAACTTGAAGTCAAGAATGCATTATAAAATTACTTTCCGTCGCCTTGTTTCCTCTCTAATTTTATTTCATCTTCAAAAGAACTTTTAAAAATCGTAATATCGTAAATAAGAAAAAAAAAAAATTCAACTTTCTTTACTTTATTATGCAAACAAAAGGCCAATGAAAACGCGTGCTTCAAATGGAAAATGAAAACCTTGTAAAGTAATAATTATCCTATTTTAAAAGTAAACGAAGTTTAAATAGGAGTACGAATTTAATACGCAAATATTGCTTAAGCTTTAAATATGTCCTCAACTAATTTTTTATCATTACAATAATTTTTTTTAAAACATATGTGATGCCCGGGGCAAGCTACTTCAATTGCCCCTCCCTCTTGGCGGCTCTGAATAAATGTATGCGTAACCTTATTTTTGTTCTAGATAATACAACATCTGAATTACATTTTAAATTACAATTTTAATGTAATCTTCTTTTATTAGATAAAAATACTGCAAATAATTCGTGCCTGAAATTGTCTTATATATAAAAAGTAGCCGATGAAAAAAATTGATATTTTTTTTAATAAAAAAAAATTAGCATAAAAATTAAATAATATAAAAAATTAAAAAATTACAAACTTTTTTCACAAGAAATTGTTTCTCACTGAATCAAATTATAATGGTAATAAAAGGTTTTTTTTTACCCTCTCCTTTGTCGCGTATGTCACAAAAAATCCAACTCCCTCAACTACTACGTCACAATTTTCTAAATTCTTCGTTAAGTACGACAAATTAGCGTTTCGAAAAGTTGTTCGAGAAATCAATAAATCAATATATTTCATCATCATAACGGACAGCACTCCCGATTTGTACCGCAGCGGTCAATTATTCGATTGTTCTATTAATTAAGCATACAATTTTTTAAATTGCTATTATTGTCATGTATTTATTATTATTAAAAGTTATTAATACGGTTGCGATAAATAGCTGTGATAAACAAACGAGCATCTTTCTATTAATTTTTCGTTGGTAATAATACTGTATTCCATAATCAAAAAAGTATTTTATTTCACAATTATCTATCGCATATCATGAATGAACTAAACATTTAAATGCTTAGACATAAATGAATTAAATATTTAAACAATCAAATATAACTTTAATCTTTTTGAATCCAGTTTGAACCAGTTATAACAAATAAAACCTAAAGTGTTACTTTAATAAAAAATTAGCAGAAAATTATTATTCTCAATTAACCCATCATTAGTACTTGGTGTCGATGTGGAAATGAGGCTTAATTCGTATGCATGTAACGGCTAATTACTGAATGTGTTACAAAACTGACTGCACAGCATGATCATTGATGCAAAGTATTTGTGATATTTCTTACCGATTTGTTATTAATTGCATCGATGGACAGTACAAGTCATATGAATGGACAGCACAAGTCATATAGATGGACAGTACAAGTCACATGGAACCAAAACAAATTTGAAGAGTAAGTAAGGATATCGTCAATTTTTTCAAATGTCGGAAAATTATTAACAAATAATTTTCAACTTTTCACTCAGAAGGCTTAACGTTTTGATTCTTCTATATACATCACTTTTTTTTCACGAAATGCTTATCCATGCATAGCAATATTCACATAAATTTCAAGTAATAAACGTTGATTTTCCTCAGTTCCTGGCCTACCAAGCTTATCTCTGGAATTTAGAGAAATGCGTAAATTTGGATTAACTAAAAATAAAGATTTTAATTTTTTTTTTTCCTTTGATTCTCTTGCTGTTTGTTTGTTTTTTTCTGGTCACTTTTCTTCAAATGCTGTTCTTTTTTGTCAGTTTTTTTTTGTTTTCTATTTTTTTTTTTTAATTTTGCATCTTGTTTATATGAAAGCATTTTTAGCCGTTTTTGTCGTTCGCACAAGCCGACCAAAACAGAATTCATAATTCTTTCTGTGTGCAGGGTATTCATATGTTTTTTAAAAATATATTTTTTGTATATCTATATTTTTAACACAGCATGTTGTTTGAAAAAGAAGGAAATAAATTAGGCTTAGGGGTCTTCCATAAAGTACGTACGCAGGTATAGGGGAGGATGGTTACATAAAAGCGAGTACGTACGCGGTTTGATTATCTCTTGATCTCTATCTCTCCTGAAACTTAAAAAAAAACAACAACATAGAATTTTACCATTTTAAAAAAGCAATGTTATGTTATATAGCATGTCAAATGAACTTAAAGTTTTTTTGTTTCTAATGTTTGAAAAATTATTTTATATTTATTTAATTTCAGTTTGTCTTTATTTTGCTTTTTTATATTTGTCTGCGGAAATTTTTTTCTCTCACTCTATCCTCATCCTTCTGAATCTTATCTCATCCTTCTGAGCTTATGTCATTTAAATTTGTGTTTTCTCTATTATTTTCACACATCCGTATATTCTCTCTTTTTTTTTCGTTTTTGTTAGTCTTACTCCTTTAATATTTTTGTTCTGATTCCGATTTTTCAATGTTATTGTTTCTATTTTTATTACTTGTATTATTGAAGTTTACTCTCTTTATTATTTCCTTGTATTTTTATATTTTTTTAATTTCATTTGTTTATTTTATTAAGGTGTCACTCCATTGACTAGTTTTTAACTAAATGAATGACACCGAACCTCATTTTGTAAACAAATAATTAAATTTTTAATTTTTAATTTTATAATTAGATAAATGGATAAAAAAAAACTGCCCCCTTACCTCTGAATCCACCAAATCATAAAAATCTTGAACTCCTTACTAGACCTCGAACCTAAGAATCCTTACTAGATGATCTCGAACTCAAGGATCTTTGCAAGATTGTGATGATGTATTTAAACTAAAGTGATATTCCACCTCTCACTTGCTATGTCTTGAAATTTTATTTTTTCTAGTTTCAAACGAGGTTGACGCAAATACCACGGTATATGTAATTCATTTTCATGGTACCATCACAATTGCTCTCGATGTTTTCTCGAATAGTATCGGATAGAAAGTGTTATGTGAAAATTACTCTCGAAATTTTCTCGAATAGTATCAGATAGAACGTGTTATGTGGGGCTCGTGAATAATCAAAATAAACAGAAAATATCAAAAAATAATAAGTGAGAACAAATTTTAATATAAAAAGCCATTTTTTATTCCTTTATTAAAGGAAAAAGTGGAATAAAACATGTA